GAAACTCGGGCGAAGATACCGCTGCCAAATGAAACGCATCGTCGCGTCCATCACGCGCGCGCGTAACGTCGGACGATTATGAAGTCGGTCGCGAACCAGAAAGCTACCGAAGCTTGTATGATAAAGAAAAAGAAAAGGTGGTATAAACTTACACAGGGTGTTCCAGAATCACCGTATGTTCTTAACACGACAGATTCTTCCGGGACATTTTTACATCAGAAAAGAAAATTGCTACGTTCAAGTAGCAAATATTCGCTAAGGAATATCGGAGTAGTTTGTTTTATTTGGATAATATGTTTGTTTTATTAAGAAAATATTACTTGAATGTAGCGCACTGGAAGAAAAAAACAAGTGCTACATTCGAGTAATATTTACTCAATCCAAATAAAATAAATTACTACAATACTCCTTAGCAAATATTTACTTGAACACAACTTTTTCTTCTCAGCGTGGATGAGAGTTCAAGTACGAAAAAATGACGAAGCTACAACTTTGTTTCAATTATAAGCGATCAAAGTTGTCCAATCGTACGCCTGACATTTCTCGTGCTCAAGTATGGCAACATGGTCGGTGATGAGGGTGCCCCTACGATGAAACGGATTATTTCAAAAATTTTCGTACAAATGTGTGATATAATTTTCGCAAAGAGAATGGTTTTCTTTTGCAGGAAGCAGCGGTCGCGATGTGGACGCCGGTATGTGTGTATATGTGTGTGTATGGATATCGATTTATAAAAATATACAGACGAGGCTGAAGCAATAAGGTGGTTTCGAGATTGCACACGCGACAAATAGATCCGGACCAGCAGCCGGTGTGAAACGAACGCGCGAGTCTCGTGTGACGTGTGTGACGTGCAACGATTGAGCGCGCGTCTCAATGTAATCCCACATATTGAGTGGCGACTAATCGCGCGTGCTTCGTGCGCGCTCGCTCTCTCGCGTGATTTTGCGATCGGGTAGCATTAATCGTCGTGGTAGGGGCGGGGGGAGGNNNNGGGGGGAGGGGGGGGGGGAAGGGCTATTATCGATCCTGCGCTAATTATACTAAGTCGATGTGAGCTGACATCCCTCTCCCTCCTTCCTCCCTCTCCCGTCAACGATTAATCCCGAGCAGCGTCGGTCGCAGCCGCCAACGACGACGACGACGGCCACCTCGAAGCGCGCGCACACACACACACACCTCCAGTAATAACAATGACGTTTAAATCGGCCGACGTCCGAGACGGGGAATAGATTAGCTTTAACGTTAATCCTAACTTCGTGCTAACTTTAGATAAATCGTCCGCCCTTAAACTGCGAGAACAGATAGTTCGCTTTCGCGGGTATGGCGGGAGTCCAAGAGACGCTTGAAAGATGAGGGGAATCGGGACGGGGGGAGGGAGGGGGGAGTCGTGCAGTTGAGAGAGTAGTCTTGTTGTTACTTGTTGTTACTTTGTGGGCTTCTTCCGTGGTACTCCTCGTCTGCACTTGAAAATTCCGTCACACGTGCAATTTCACAAATTACTTTAAACCACTCCGCTGTTCCTTGTTTGATTCACACATTATGTGTCGTTTATTAAGGGTACCCATAAGTAATGTCGCTTTTTTCGATACTTGTACAAAATTTTATTTTATTTTATATTTAGTTCTTCCAGAAATTTCACGATAAGCACACTAAATGTCGGTAAATTTAATTAGTGTGTAGGCTGTGTAATAAATCGCGTCCACGAACGAGGTGGCGATGTTTATTCAATCTGAAAAAAAAAACCACATTACTTATGTGTGACCCTAGTAACTTTATACTGCACTATGTGTTTCCTTGAGTTTCTTATCCGTTCGATCACAAAAATATTGCTCGTAAATTACGATTCTTTTCTGATGTAATGTATAGTCAAGTGTTTTTCCCGTTAATAGAGATAATTATTATTATTATTATTATTATTATGTGGGAAGAAGAGGAAAGCACTGGAAAGGAGAGGTGCTCTCTCGTGATCGAGTAATGAGCGAGACGTCAACCGTGGCTCGTTGTTTCGTGTGTGCGAATATACTGAGAAACTGATTTAGTTGACTCAAGCAAAATTCTCGTTTGGATACGAGCGGACAAATGTTTCAGTCGTGAGAACTAAGATTTGGTATTCCAAACCAAACCTTTTGCATTTTCGTTTCAGAAGGAACCTTTGCTTCAGAGAACCGAGCTTTGGCTCTCACGACCAAGATATTTGCTCGCCTATATCGAAATAAGAATTTTGCTCGAGTCGACTGAATGGGTTTTGCTCATCACTCGTTATTTCTCACGGAGTATTCGTCGTTTTCGGGACGATGCTCCGCGGGTCGCAACCCCGTCTCGGTTTCGAACGTCCCGGAGACGTTTCTCTTGGACGCCCATGCCGCCGGGAGATCTTAAATCGCTTCTTCCTGCGAACGTATAATAGATCGCCCTATCTCTACTCGTGTTATCGCTCGCACTCTTACCTGCTAAGATGAATCTCGCTACTCTTAGGAATTCCCATTTTTTTATTAATTTCTCGCCTACCTGACGTCACGGCCCAACACGCCGATGTGTGTCGTACCGAGTAGCGCAAGAGGAACCGGACGAAATCATCCCCTTTTCTGACTCTTGTCGGGTGGAAAAGGAGGAAAGGACAATCGGGAACACATCGCGTGTAAACTCGCGTTTCGAGCGTCAACGAGACGAACGTTGTAATTCGACAATTAGCCGTATTGCGACAATTTGTCCATACGCACACATACACACATACACACACTGCAAATCCTTCAGCTGAAGCTCTTCTTACACATTTCTTACACATGTCTTACACATCTCTTACCGTTTTAAATCATGTCGTTTGATACGATTGGACGTGTTAATTTAACACGTCGTAATTTAACGCGTTCATTTAATACAATTAAACGTTTTAAACGTCGTGATTTAACACGTGTTAATTTAACACGATTAAACGTTTTAAACAACGTAAGCTAAATCGGCAAGAAAGTACGTAAAAGCAGCTTCAGTCAAATGTGTCACTTTAAGACGTTTGCGCGTGTAAAAATAACACACTTGGATTTACAGTTCACTCCGTGTGGTCGGGGGAATGAATCGAAGTGGAACTCTCTCACTCTCGTTCAATTAAAATGCCACCGTCTCTCTCTCTCTCTCTCGCGCACGCGCGCGCGCGCAAACCTCACATGCGATGACGCGCGATACACGAGGACGCGCTGAGCTCCCTCGCGCTATCCGGCGTTGTAGACGTGTGTGTGTATATAGATATTAATTACCTGCGCTTTTAATTACAATTTATAAGACTACTCTTCAAGCGGTTACGACATAATAATCGACATTACATTCTGCCGTCTCTTCTCCGTCCCCTTCCTCTCCTCATCACATCGCCGTTTGCCTAATTGATCGTACTCTACTATATGTATACTCGGTGTGTGATGCACAGTAGTTCATAATAGTAATGGTAATTAGTAGCAATAGTAGTAATAGTAATAGTAGTAGTAATGGTAGTAGTAATAATAACATCATTATTGTTATCCTCACTGTTCCTCCGTTAAATGTATGTTCTGTATGTATGTTATTCACGTAATCTCCCTTCTTTTCTTTCCTCTCTCTATCTTATCCATTCGCAACCCGCTCCTTTCTTTTCGTTTCTACCTTCCCTCTCGTGTATCTTACGTGGCTAGGAGGCGTCGTGCGAGCGGAAGCAACGTCATCCCGCGTCGCTCTCGCGCTGCCGCCGCGAGATTCCGTTGCTGTACTCAACTTTCGTGTACTACGGTCCTTAGTAACGCGTGTCGTCGACAACGATTATGGTCCAATGTATCGATAGCGGCCTCCGCGCGGAGAACGTTCCCATAGTTTCCTTCCGATCGAGCCGCGTCAATGCCTCCTTTTCTCTCTCTCTCTCTCTTCTTTTTTGTCTCTCTTTCTTAATCTCTCCTTCAAATCGCGAGTGGGTGATCGACTAAATGTCTGTCTCAAGTCGTCCGAAAGAAATGGGAATCCTCGCAATGAGTCGACTCGTAAAAACTTTCATCGGGGTATTTCATTCGCGTACACTCGTGTCAAATTTGTTATAAAGAAAATGACGAAGAGAGAGAGAGAGAGAGAGAGAGGGGAGATATTTGTCCGGAGGACTTTAATATCGCGAGACGCAAATATAAGAGAATAAGTCGCGGCGGGAAAACACATTAAGCCCGAGCGTGTAATTCTGAAGCGTAGATACTTTATCGCGAGGGCTCGAAAGCTCTCTCTCTCGGGGATTTGCGTAATGCGTTTCCTCTGTACACTGCAGATCCCGGGACGGCCGGGAGATTTATCGGTATTGATAATTCACCTTTCGCGCACGCACACATACATACCTGTTAGACTTAATGCGCCGTTTCTTCGCGCGAGATATTCCCTCGCACGAAACGACGAGGCTTCTCGCGAACGACGAATAAGCTCGCTCTTTCTTTCCCGCCGAAACCGAGTTCAAACAACGTTATAAACGGATGATGCGTACGGGGCGGGATCGCGAAGGGTCGATGGAGAAGCCTCCCCTCCTATCGTTACGCCGTTTATTCTTCACCACGGAAACAGGACTTCGATTAGACGCGCGCGTGCGCGATGCAATCGATGATATCGCGCGCGCCTCAGCAGTTGAGAAAAAAAGAAAGGATCAGCGAGGATTGACCGTTTCAAAAAGAGACCCGTGGAAAAAGCAGTGCTCGCGAACGACGTATCGGCATTCTGATGTATCGGCCTTCAGGCATCAATAATCCATTAAAGCTCACCTGCGGTGAGCTTCGCCGCTTGTGCATCCCGGCCCTTTCCTCGAGGACCGTTGTTATTTTTTTATTTTGTTTTGGGGATTCAAGGCGGTCCTCGAAACACAACGAAAGGGGAGAGAAAGGAGGGAGGAAACGGGGAGAAAACGAAGCAGAAAAAAGCGCGAGCTTCACTTTTCAAGGGATTATTTAATATGCATGGGATCGCATCATTTTATATTGAAACACCCCCCTCCCACCCTCCCTCTCGTTCAGCCCGCAGACACGCCAATCTCCCGAGACGGGTCTGTGTATTCTCCGGAGGATCGCGAAAGCTTTAATAGATCCGTGATGAAAGGAGATCACGGGACATTCGGACGCGAGGCAGCGATGAAAAGCGCGTGAGAAGAGAGAGAGAAGAAACGTGCGGTGACGCGCCGAAAAATATTCATAAAATTCCGAGCGCGGAGTCTCGTCCACCGAAATATCGATATATCGTCTCCTCCGCGCGTTTCGGCCGCCCGCGTTTTCGACGGCCCGCCGCAGCCGCCGCCCCTCTGACCGTCCCGATGTTATTAAACTCGCATGTACGAGGTCGCAGGGCGGACGGCGGAAGAAGCGTCGATAAAACGCGCGGCGAAAAATAGGACGGCGGCGAAACTTTTTGAATAAATCCAATCCAAGCGCGCGAATGTCGCTTTCGATGAGAAAGGCCAGCTGGCTGGAGCTCAGAAGAAAAAAATCGCGACACGGAGCGGATACACAGTCGGCGTATTCAGAATCGGGTGATAACTTGTTGCTCGGTTAAAATTTAAATTTAAAAAGTTGAACGGTTAATAACTTCTGACTTGACTTGGCTGAATTTTTAATAATCCGAATTTTAACTTAAACCGGTTAATTTAAAACGATCCTCCCAACCTGTATTCTACTAAAAAATCAAAGTGCGATCGTTTCCCTGACCGGAAGCCCGAGAATTGCTCTTCTTCGGCGTGTTCTTTCTTCTTTCTCCTTATCGAATCAAGATTTGAGAACCAAAATTTCGGGAAATAAATCCGGAGTAACGGTGTTGCTCATCGAGAGCGGCGTCTTGAGAAACGGTTTCACCACGTGTAGAAAAAAATTAGGGAAAAACGAGTCATTAGACAGAAACTGGACAGTTTTCGTTGGTTTGAATTAATTAGATAACAACTGTTCAAAAAATACTGACTTTTATTTCTTGGCCGGTTGCTTATCATAAACTATTCCAAAACAAAAGAAATTGCAAGTTAATATTAAACAGTTTCTATCCAGCAAAAACTCGTAAAATTCTAGCTGGTGTTTCTTGGTCATTTCTCGGCCGGAAACTAGGCGAGATAATAAACAAATGAGACGGTAAATAAATGAAATGCTCAAAATTTCATTAGAAACTGGTCGGAAACTGGCTAGTTTTACTATCCAGTTATTATTGAGGCAAAAGAAAAATCTCCCAAACTTGTAAGTTTTGGCCAACTATAAAACTGATGCGAAACTAGCTGGCTGGGGAATTACCGGCCAGTTAAAAACTAGTTTAGTTTCTACTTGGGACGGGACGCGGACCTATTCGGAAACGCGCGTTGGATAAATTCAGGGACCCGACGATGTCAAACAACGAGGAAGAATTCGCATTCGGAGCGTCGCGCGAGGGAAATCTCCGGCGAAGGCGAGTTGAGTCGCGCGAGGAGCTAATGCGAAAGCCGATAAGAAGCGCCGGCACGTGGCGCGAACGACGACCGTTCCTGAGCTTTTCGTCGTTGTCGCGGAATTGCGTGCCACACAGGTATCAAATGTGTTGTCGCCTCTCATTCGCCACCCCCGTCGCGACTATTTCGAGGAAAATCGCATGTGAAAAGCCCACGCCCGACGAAATATCATCTCGAAATGAAAGGCCCGCGCGCGCGCGCGCGCGTCGAATTTTAATTAAATTTTACTCTGATTAAAAGAAGACATTTTTTCGTCAACACCGCCGGGTTTCTGAAATGAAAGTGAAGAGAAATCGCGTTAGAGTTATTTTTATCTCAGGTAGAAATTAAACCAGTTTCTAGCCAGTAACTGGTTGGTAATTCTCTAGTTAATTTCTGATCAGTTTTACTCTATCACAAACTTACAATTGTTTACTATTTCATTTGTTTATTACTTCGCCTAGTTTCTAGCCGGGAAGCCAGAATTTTCAGGATTCTTGCTGGATCGAAAGTGCCCAGTATTAACTTACTATTTCTTCTTTTGGAATAGTTTATGGCAAATAACTGACCAAGAGACATTCATAGTATTTTTTGGACAGTTTCCGAACATTTAATGTCTAATTAATTCAAGCCAGTAAAAACCGTCCAGTTTCCGTCTGGTGATCAATTTTTTTCCCACAACATTTTTCAACCCGGAGGTATTTCCTGCAGCGTCGACCTCGCCGGCAACTTCCGCCGTCATTCCATGGAACTCTCGAATCGGCAAAGGTTGCCCCTCCCCCACCCTTCGCCCTTGATCGCCCGCGTTGTTCGAACGCTAAACATCGCGCGGTAGACGCGCCGTAAATGGAATCTCAGTTCGGCCGAACTCGGCAAACGAAGTTTTCAATCAAACCCCGATCGGGGAGAAACTTTCCCATTGGGAGAGCAGTCGATCCGCGAGCGTATGCGGAAACGTGCGAATTTAATAGAGCGAGAGCGACCGAGGGGTGAGGGGGGAAGAGCCGGCGCGATACAACGCGTCGGATTTAACGAGCTGATTTCTCCGCGTCGCTCGAGAGTTTTCCGAGGGTATGTTCCACCATGTTCGCCGAATTAATTCGTCCGTCGTGATTTTACGCCGCTAATGTGACCAAATACGCACGTCGAGCCGATAAAATGAGGGTTACAAGAGTTACGCCGGAATGCGCGCTCGTTAATTCGAGAGAGCGTCGCTCGCCAGAGGGAGTCCTTCCCCCCTTCCTCCCCTCTAGAAGTCCCGTCACGTCATGCTATATTGGTAGTATTTTCGTAAACGTTATTTGTAAATTCCCCGTAATTTGCCGCATCGTCGTGTCCGCACCGTGGAACCGCATTGTGGAAAGCCGAGTTCGTCGGAACAGTCGCGCTTCTCTCCCCGGCGATGTTCTCTTGATATTTCGCTCCGGAAGAGAGGACTCACGCCGGAGAAAAGAGATATCGGGGAAATATGTGGAACCTCGCGGAAGGGAGCAAACCAGAATCCAGCCGGTAATTGACCAGGAATTCTGATTACCGTCTGGAAACCAGTCAGTTTGGTCGACGCTCGTTTCGGCAGCAACTAGAAAGTAAAACTAGCCAGAATAAAAGAAGAAATCAGAAACTAGAGAGCAACTGTCGGCAACTGGGTAGAAAATCATGTTTAGATGAACCTGGCGCAAAATTTCGCGAGAAATTAGTCGAACAGATTAGTAAATAGCTGGTTGGTTTAGGAATTCCAGTCAGTCGAAACTCGGCATATCCTACACGGTAAAAAATTCTGTATTAAATTTAATGCATCTCACGTGTCCTAAACGGTTCGCATGAATTTTTGTGTTAATTTAACACTAGGTGAATACGTTTAAAAGCAACAAAAATATTATGCGAAAAATTAACGCAGAATTAAATATCAATAACATGTCAATCGACACTGAGGTGTAAAATGTGTTAATTTACACCTCATAACATATTGAATAAACTCAACACAAAATATATTCAGGTAACATAAGCACAATACGTTAAATTAACGCACGGGTCGAATTTTGTAAAAAAATCACGAAGATATGTTAACGAGGATCGATTTTAATACAGATACAAAATGTTTTTACCGTGTAGACCTTATTTCCTGGCTGCAAATTAGCCGAACAGATTGGTAAACGCCGGCTAGCAATCGGTACTTCATGAAAACACTTTTACTCGGTTTATTGACGATATCGTGGTAGCCTGGAGGAAGAATGGATGCTGCCACGGGTAGGAACACACGCGCCGCGAGCACTGCGACTCGCGAGATTCGCACCGTTCGGTGTCTCGCTAATGATCCACGGAAATCGATCGGTCCGCCGAGTGACGAGAGCAACAGGTGAATACCGCGTATTAACGTAATTTCTCCGCGGCTGAAACTATAACTGCCGCGCCAGTAATAAAATCAGCAAACGTTCCTCCCCCCTCCGGCGAGAGCGAGCAATTGTATGCGTCGACGCGCTCTCACCTGTCTCAATCGATCGTCGCGCGCCTCAATTTATTCGCCGGCTCGAGGATCGTCGTGCACGCAGAAAATTTTTCTTCAATAATAATCGACATGCTGACAACATCCCAAGTAGAAATTAAACTAGTTTCCAGCCAGTAACTGGCCAGTGATTCCCTAACTAGCTATTTCCCGATCGGTTTTACCGGCAGCAAAACCTTACAAGTTTGGGAGACTTTTGCCCCGGCAATAACCGGATAGTAAAACTAGCCGGTTTCCGATCGGTTCCTAATAAGATTTTAGGCATTTCATTCGTTTGTTATTTCGCCTAGTTTCTAGCAAGGAAACGGCCAGGAGACACTAGCCAGAATTTTAAGAGTTTCCGCTGCAAACTCAAACTGTCTAGTACTAATTTGTTATTTTTTGAGGGATAGTTTATGGAAAGTACTGGCCAAGAAATAATAGCCAGTATTTCTTGGACAATTTCTCAACAATTATTGTCTAATTAATTCATACCGGTGAAAAACTGCCCAGTTCCTGTCTTGGTTTTCTCCTTTTTCTACTTAGGACAATTTACTGGTCTTTACTGCTGTCGCGCGACTAGGATATACTCGATGCTAAAGCCGAAATTTGACAAATGACACTAATAAACGAACAGGTATCTATCAGATGTATACTTTTAACACGATTGTGTGTCAATTTTCCACGTGCAGGGAGATATCGGAAAGATAAAAAATGCCCCATGCCGATGTATGCGTTTTCGACACTGCAACCGGAATTTAGCGCGTTTATTTCTAATGCCGGGATATGGGAAAATGTTTTATCGGCTGGTAACTATTATGTAACGTATAATGCTACTACGTAACGCGTCAATGAGAGCGGTAAGACGGGATATTCGTTGTGTTTGCATGACGCAGACTATGGTTTGTGGGTAACGATATGCAGTGCTGTAATCGTGCCGTTCGTATTGCTTCCTAAATCTCCCGTATTGCCTTGAAATTGTTTCGACGTTAGAAGCATATCCTAACCGGGCGAGACTATACGGTACTTTTCTCGCGTTCGCGTATGTTAACATCTAGAAAAATGTTCTGCGTGTATCGACGACGTCGACGGCGGTAAGCGGGAAATGGCACACTGACGAAAGCTCCGAGCACTGTGTGAAGCCGCGAAAAGCCCGTGATCGCGATTCTAAGTGATTAACGTGGAACGTTCGGCTCGTCGAACAGCGCCCGACGCGACGGGAAGGATCCTGGAGGATCGAAGGAGCGACTGTGATCGACTTCCACCGTCTCCGCGAGACCCGCTTTTGTGTGTGTGTGTGTATGTGTGTAACCTCGATCGTCCGGCGCAAACGTCTGTTAGTGCAAGCTGCAACCTCCCTTCCCCGCCTCCTCCGACCTTTCCCCTCCGCTCGCCTCCCGAAACCTCATGTGCAAGTTTTCGCGAATGAATAAGGACCTATGCGGTGTCCGTGTGACGCTCGTGGCGCGGATCCTCCGTCCTGCGGGACGACGTATTAGCCACGAAGGCTTCGGCACATCATGAGAACCGCCAGCGAGATCGCCAGGACGAAGTAGGCGCCGCTCGACGCCGTCAACGACGGCCCTGAATTGCAGCCGTCCTGTTGGCAGCAATACGTCCGCGTGCTCCAGGCCTCTGAAATCAAGGATTCGTCTCATTCGATCGGGCGGAATAGCTAAAAAAACGCTACTCCTACACGTTCCCAACGTGCCCGCGACTCGTGTATCTTTCAACATAGGGAAAAACATCCACCATTTTGCTTTTAAGCTCCGAAGTCTGGTTGAAGGTGTAAAATTAAAATTCACGCGCACGGATGCGAGCCAGCAACATCTCTCTACCAAGGTGCATGATAGTCTTATAAAAATTATCACGTATATCCTTGCAAAGAAATATTTTGCCAGATGTGGAGGAGATCTGAGGATTGGTGTTTCGAAAAACTAGGCTCCAAAACTGACATATCCGCGATACCTAAAGGAAATTCAAGGATGAAATCAAATGGCAGCGCTGAAATAACATTATTTTGCAACTGAAACGTTTGCAAGCAGAAACTGCCACTTCAGTTCCAACTACCGCGCACAACTGAGAACTGTGAACTAAGTTCCGTTCATGTTCCGTCCGACGAAGTTCAGTACTTTACAGCTAGGGTATGTCAGTTTGCCATACATATGTCAGTTTTAGCGCCTTCCCTCCAACAGTAATCCCGAAACAAGAGAAGGACGGAGAGAAGGACTTATGAACTCGGAGAAATTCCTCGGATAAGGAGGTTTAATATCGGAGGGGGGAAAAATAAAAAGACCCGGTGCGGTGGAAAAAGCAGCGAAACGCGCCGTCGGAGCAAGATTAATCGCGGCGCGTCCGTTTCCCGATATGACGAAAAAATATGGCAAGAAAAGAGAGAGAGAGAAATAGAGAGGGGAGGGAGAGTACTTATACATAGCCGCTGTCGAAGGACGAGTGGCGGAGAAATACGAGTGGAAAGGAAAAGTATGAGGCCTTCATCCGCAGCGAAACAATAAAACGACGCGACCTGATAACACGCTGCCGTTGGCCGTGGGACTTTTAAGCGTCACGCGCGACTCGTCCTCATATCCTCCCCCGGTGTCTTCCCTCTCTCTCTCTCTCTCTCTTCTTCTTCTTCTCTCTCTATCTCTCTTCTTGAGCGACGCGAAGCGGATGCGGGCGAAATCCGAAATCGATGACGCGGCCTCTGGTCGATTCTCGCCGCGGTGAGATCCGAGCGAAACGAGGGATGATATCCCCATCGACGACTCATCCCCCGCTCGCTCGCATACCCCGCCGACTCGCGTCGTCTCGCCTCGTCCGGTTCCGCCTCGCTTTTCGGATAACAAACGCCGACCCGAAGCAGTCGATAACGCGCGGTTTCACCAATTTTTTCGGGCCGTTTTATCCTCTGTAAATTCCCCGGCGCGACGGAGAAAGAGAGAGAAAGAGAGCCGAAGAGAGCCATCGGTGACCGGGGTGGGAGTCAAGGAATTTACGGGCCGTCGATTCGGGCCGTGTCGCAGATATCACGACCCCGCGAGAATGGAATATAACTCGAGCGTACGTTCTTTATCGCTCCTCCCCCCCTTTTCACTATCTCGGAATATGCGAGCACGGATCGTACTCACCTTTCTCCACGCACGTGGGCACGCAGTCCCGCACCGTCGATCCTTCGCTGACGTATTTCTGAAAGAACAAGCAAAGAGAGCGGTTGTTAAACGGACGGTGAAATACACAGTCGTATTCGGCGGGGGGGATAAAGGAGGGATGATGATTAACGGTTCGCGACGCAATTTGCGGTTTTTCTCGCGCGAGGCGCGCGTCGAATATTTTATCCGCGAAATGATGCGTGCACGCGCGTCGCTCGCGCACGGCCAATAAATCCGCGTGTCGGTTATCGAGTGAGAATCACGGGCGTTTCCATCTGCCAATATTGTTTCGCGCAATTTCGCCGCCCTGCGCGCGCGCGCTCCGAGCTATGCGGAAAACGCGGATCGGAATTTTGCGCGGAAAAATGAAATATGACGCTCGCGCGTGTCCGCGGGAAGTTCGCTCGCGGTTGCCATCGGGGTGGTGCGGCGGGAGGGAGGAGGGACGCGGAGCGGAAGTATAATAGCGTATAATATTGCGAATGCATCGCGCTGTGTTACCTTCCGCTCTCCTTTCTCGCTTTTCGCCTTTTCCCCCCTTTATCGGCGCGCTATTTCGCTCGGGGAATGTGGAAAATGATCGTGCGCTCTCGCCGATCGCGAGCATTCCGACGCGCCGGCGATCGGCGTGATCGCACGCAAAGGCGGAGAGCCGGCGATTAGGAACGACAAGTACGCGGCTATGATCCTTCAGCAGGTCCCGATTGGTCAAACGCGAAATCCCTCGGAGCGAACTGCGTCATGTGCGCGGAATGATCGATACCCGACGATTATAACGCCCCGAGGACGTCGTACGTATTAAACCCTCCGATTCTCCCCTTCCACTTCGCTCCCCTTCTCTCTCACACACGCACACACAGGTGCTATGTCCGTCTATCTATGTATGTATCTATCTATCTAGCTATCCATCTGTCTGTCTGTCTGTCTGTCTGTTTGTCTCTCTTCCTTCCGTAGTTATTAAACTCCCTTTGCAGATCAAGAATTTCGCATCGTCGATACTCGCTATTGAAACTCTCTCTTTGGCGCGGCCACCGCCGAATAACGTGAGAATGAAAACGTTGATCGCCCGATACCGGTTGTTCCTCTTTCCCCGCCGCCCGCCCGGAAAGCGGTAGTATCCCCTTTATTCCTCGTCGGTTCTCCCTTTGAACTTGCATCTGCATTAGAATCGGTCAGTATTTTCTGCTTTGTGTCAGTCGCGCCGCAAATGTATCGACACGCGGAGCACCGGGAAAGAGAGAGAGAGAGAGAGAGAGAAAGAGAGGGAGTACAAAAATACTCGCCGATTACAATATCACTTTGCGGCAGCGTTATCTCTCGCGATCTTTTTTTTTTTCACCTGTGCCTTTCGGTGTATTTGTTGGAGCAGCGTGGAGGGGTGTAGGGGGTGATGATCAGCTGGGTATAAATCTGTCATTCGTCGTAATTCACCGAAGGAAGAACGAGGAACATCGTGTCCCGATCGCCGATATCATACGGCGATTACACGAACGATTATTTCGGAGGGAAAAAAAAGGGAAAAAATTAACACACCACATCGATGCATTCTTCGAAATTCGAGCGTGCGACTCGCGGCGACGTCATAAATCATAATGGAGAACTAATGGACTCGCGGGTGAACGTCGAATTTACACGAGAGAGAGCGAGCGAATGAACGAACTGGCGCGAGAAAGAAGGGGAGCGCGACGAGTAAAATCACGAAAGCGTGTTTATTCGCGGGCATTTAATTACGGCAATTTTCATGAGGACCGGTTGAAATGGTTCCGCGCGAATGTTTCGGCACGGGGTTCGCGACGCGATCGGCACCGACGATCGATCCCTCGCAAATTTCCTCGCCCTCGCGGGAGATTCGGCGAGCCGAAAATTTCCACAGTCAGCGACATCGAATTAATTTATCCTTCGACCGACCGGATCCGACGAGAGCTCGTCTCCCGCAAGAAATGCACGCGACGGTCCCCGGAGAAGCGCGCGCGCTCACCCCTAAACACTTTTCATCCGGCGATTTCCCGCGCTTGCTCGCAATCACAGAGCTTCTCACTCAAGCAATCGCAGTATTATCGAATCTCGAGGGTAACTGCCGTTTTGCTTATTTTCATCGATTTTACAGAAAAATATGCCGCCTCGAGCTTCTGTATTCTTGACGCGTCAACGTCTATTAGTTTATCGGTCTTTCGGTGTGTCTGACTAGTGAGGAAAGTTACTTTTTGTTTTTCAGACCTGGCGGAGTTTGCGGCCAGGTGGTGGGTGTGGAAGGTATCGTTTCGATGGAAGCGGATGCTGGTAGAACAGGATCCGGTTTGAGCAGAAACTTGAAGGTACGTTCATGTACTTTCCGTTCCCTTCCGGTTAATCCTTGGTGATTCAACATTAAGATATAGTCGTTCGGGTGAAAGTCGTTGACTTACACGATCACAAGAGGTTATCATCCTCTGGTCCACGAATATTCTGCTCGTTAAACTGTTAACCTTCGTTAACTGATCGACGATACTATATTTCTCGTGCTAGAACTGTAGCAGACCGCGGCTGGTCTTACAGGCAGCGCAATGTCTAAAATTGGATCACAAGATGTTTCTAAGACGATTTGAATATGTATTTGAGACGTCTTTCTGCAACTTGCACACATATTTAAGATGTATTTAAGATCTTTCCATAAGATGTCTCTAAGTCTTTCCATAAGACGTCTTGTTCAAAATATCTCAAAGACGTCTTATGACTCGATTTTAGATTTTGTCTTGTCTGCTTCCCGATCTTTCGGTGAATCAGAACAATAAGCACAAAAAGTGATTTCAAGTTTGGAAGTGGCGGGTTTGAGGGTGGTGGCTACGTTCATGAAATCTTATCAATGTCATTATCCATGCGGAAATTCATGCGATTTACTCAATTTATCGATGTATGTATGCGCACAGGAAGAAAGAAACGGATTAATCTTACTATAAATTCTTTCTCTCAGAAATCTTTCTCTGAGTGCATAATTTGACTGCACATAATTTGACTTAAAAGAGATCAACGGTATGCGGTAGCGCATGCGCTTGCAGCAACCAGTACCCGAAGAAATCGTATGTATCACACAAAAGTTACATTCAATTTTTTTCTCTTCCCAACACACACACACACACACACACACACACACACACATACACAATACTCTGCGGTTCGCCGCATAAACGCACGCGGTACAGCTGTGGAAGTTCGCCACTGCAGCGGAGGAATCGTCCTCATTTTTCCTGTCGTGAATATTTAATCCGGAGACGAAAGTAAAGTATGAGAGAAAAAAGAAAGGAAGGTTAGAGGAGGTAGCGGTGAAAAAAAAAGAATGCTAAACGACGGAAGCAGGCGGCGTTAAGCCGAGACGAAACGTCGGTCCACGAGGGGGGAAAATTCGCGGCGTATTCGCGAGACAGAGGACCATTTCCGTCGCTTTTTTCTACGTCGTTGCATGGACGTGAATATATATACATATATATATACACATATACGCATGTATATATGTATAAATATATACCAGTGCGACGGAACACGGTCGGATTAACGGGCGCGATACCAGTTCATACCGCATTTTGTGCCTTTTCGCTTCGCCGTTATCTCTGCGATGCGAAATTATTTTCCAAGTGACCTTTAAATATTATAATGTCAATCCGTTTTCGCGTCTCGAGACGCGCACAATTATCGTCCGATTAAATGTAGCGATGTGTTTCGACGAACTGTCCATCTTGACAGCACTTCCCTAGTAGCACAATTTATTGGCGATATATTGCGGCCCAGTATTGGTTATATTGGCATTCATTGGGGACACATTGGGTGAATGTTGCCCGATATAAAACCAGTCGGACAGCCAAATCTGCGAAGATTTTACGTAATGTCTGCTGTAAATTTGGTCGAGAGCCTGCTGCAGCGGAAATACAGCAGGATTTGCTAGCAGAGCATGATAATGGATTAATCTGTTATCAAGCATTGTTAATAAATCCTAATGATTAGATTTGCTTATTTTAGAGAGAGAAAGAGAGAAACGAGGAGCACAGCAGACTCAGAACTTTCCTTACCCTCTGCGTCTCGCAATTGAGCGTGCCTGTCCTCGGGAGAAGCGGGAGGGGTGGCTGCCGAGAGATGCGAGTATCGATACTCCGGAACGGTGCCTATCACCATCCCTATCGTTCCTACCGGCGCTATTCGCAGCACTTTAAGTGCTTCTCGGGCACTTGAAAGGCGATCGCGCCCGCTTCGTCTCGTCCGTCGTCGAAGACTTGCCGCCCGAGACCGGAAATTGAGAGCCGGCAATCGCACGGAGCCGGCGGCCCGCTTGAACGGGGAGGATGTAGTTTGAAAAGTTCGTGAGAACATCCGGGGCGGAAGAGCGAGAATTGTTTTCGTGCTTATCGCGCACTTATCCTTTTCTCTCTCTCTTGTGCGCGCGCACGAACAGGCGGACAGGCGACGAAACGAAGAAGTTCATTATGGGAAAGGGATATGGATTTTTGGTATCTGCTGCTATCATCGCGAAAAGAAATGCTAGATTCAAGTAGTTTTGCCCCAACATTCCTTAGCAACATTTTTCCAATCTAACAATCACCGTAAAATTAACATGACATACAATCTTCTTTTTCAGCCTATTTCTTTTCATGATTTCGTCACGTTAATTTTACGGCTATTTATTGACTGTTGGATTAAGGAGACATTTTTTGGAGTGTTTTACAATTATGTTCAATCGGTTATAATTATCGGTTTACGGGCATATCCCTTTACTTCAACGCAAGAATTACTCGCAAGAATTTTGGGCATATGTTTTTGCGTTTCCGACGTCGTTAGTCAAGATGGCTGCAGCGAAGAAACAGGAGCCTCAAAGCCAGAAGGAAATACAGCAGAATTGTCGGAAATGACTATAATTTTAGTGAGATGTCCCCCTGTGCAGAACCCGAAAATCTATCTTGACTTGAAGGATGCATCCCCCACGCAATTTGTACTTTCTCGTCGACATATTTGCGCATCAACAAAAGTACGCATGAATAATAACGAGACGTCTTGCGAAGGACGTGTATAAAA